AAATATTTTATTTACAAAGCAGAAATATGGTCATCGAAATGGTTTATGACCACTTAAAATATGCGCTTTTTTCAGTATAAAAATTTCAGAAATTTTCTTTAAATTAAATTAAATCATATAACAAAATATAATTCGTAAATGAAACATAATTCATAATGTATATGAAACAACCACAGAGATAACAATAGAGTCTTTTTTACTTTTTTTATTATTGTTTTAATTCTTGAACTTTAATAGAAAAAAAAGTTTGCTGAACTTTTCTGAGAAAACATAACTCCTATGCGTAATATATTGCATGTATTGCTTGTTTGCTAATAGATTATTAAATTTCAATTCGTTTACTGCCGAATTGCAATTCACAATTATTATTTTTACATTTCAAATACTTTAATATAAAGCAATCCAAGAGTTTTTGGAGGTAATTAGTTTATTTACTAACAAAAATTAAGTTTTTTAAGAAAAAAAATTGAATGGGCTGGCAAATGAATATATAATAGAAAATTCTATTATATATTTGAATATATAATAGAATTATAAACTTAACTTCATTCAAATATATTTTATATTAAATGCAATATTGGTCACTGGACGTCGTTGGCGAAATGTTGTATTGTCATTAAAACTCACGAGGAATATAAAATAGATACAATAGCATTGCTTTAGCAATATATCATATTATTTTGAATCAAACAAACAATTACATATAAATTTCCAAGAGATATAGTAATGAATAATTTTGTCAATCTTATTTCAGCGAAATAAGGGTTAGTTTTATTTATCCCAATTATTAATTTATCTTTTTAATACATTCCAATTTGATACTGGATACTGGACATATCGAAAATCCTTTTTGGAAATTTGTAAGAAAAATTAGATTTACGCTGTTTTTGTTGGCGCTATTTACAAATGCTACAAAGAAATGCACTATCAAAATTTAAAAGCATGAATTTATTTTTTTCTATTTTCAAAGCACTGTACTAGTCAATATAAGACTATCGCGTAGAGGAAGCAATTTTCATTTTCCTTTTATGGTTTTTAAAAAATTGTATAGAGTTTATATGAAGGGAAAAAATTTTCACATCCTGTTGTGATTTAATTTTTTTCATTCATTTATATAAAAATACTTAAAAAGATTTTTATATTAATAAATTTTAGAGTTTTATTTCGATATTTGCAAAAAAAATCGCGAAAAGAGGAAAGTTATCATTCAAAATAAATTTTCATTAGGATAAGTTTCCAAAAATTTTAGAAATTCAATCTATATACAGAGTTTTCCATTCCCATTTTTTATTATTTTTTTTTATTACTATTTATTTATTCCTTTTTTGCAAAATTCATTATTTACAATTACCTTATTATATATTATTTACAAAAAAATTATTTTACAAGTATTTTGAATTGAAAGTTAACTAAAATATTAATGTAAATTTAGCTCTTAATAGAGGTACACTTTAATGCCATCGAAAGTCCTCGAAAAGTTTGTTCGTATGTATGTATTATTTAAACAATATGTTCCATTACATATTGTTTAAATAATACTTTTTAAAACTGAAAGAATATATTTTAGTTAAGTACATATATACTTATATTTTTACTTAAAATAATTAATATGAGCAAAATGAAATGAAATCAAATTAGATATGAACACTTCAACGATGTGTAGGAATTTTAATAGTGCATATAGATTTGTGTACATACATACATTCATATTTCCTTGAAGTTTTCGTGGAATTACTTAACAGGTTCGGGTAGTTGCCATACAACTCCAAAAGAAAATTTTAAATATTTGGAAACATATTAAGGCTAGATTTATTAAACTGATCAGTCGTTTGTCCACTTATAGGTTAATTCAATTTCAATTCAATTTTCAATTTATTCATCCAATCTCAAAATGAGCTTTAAGCTCGTAAAGAGTATAATTACAAAAAATTCTTATAAATAACTGTCAAATATCAGTACAAAATTTTATCCTTCAAATAGTGCAATAATTAATTCATAACAATAACAAAATGAGTAATATTTGGTTTAACTAACAATATTGTATATGATAATTTATTTTGATTAAACATTTTGACGACTAATAATTCTAATAAAACTCTTATATTTTATTTATATAGTATGTGTTAATATGTTGTTTAAATCTATTTATTAGTGTATGACTTTTCAATTCAGCAGGTAGATTGTTATATATTTTATATGCTAAATTGTATACTGTGTCCAAATTATTAAATCTGACATTAGATGATATAATTCTGATGTTACCAGCTGTTCTTGTGAAGTGTGAATGCACCAAGCTATTAAATATAGTTTCGATATTGGTATTCGTGTTTTTCGTCATCATTAGGTGTACATGCGTAGCTAACTTACTTTCAATAAACAATTTAATTGGCAATATTTCATGTATTTTGTGTATTTCTCTAGTTGATTTTCTACTTTCATAACCGTATAAGTTTTTAGTTGCTTTGTTTTGGACTCGTTGTAATAGTTCTAAGTCTATATTATATGCATTTCCCCAAATTTGAACTGCGTACATGGTAGTTGAATGAAATAGTGCAAAGTAAAGAGACCTTTTTAGTTTATAAGGTAATCTGTTTGATAAAATTCTGAATAAGCCAGCAATTCTTCTTCTTTTTTTTATTTGTCCATTAATTTGTTCTTTCCAATCTAGATTATCATGTAGTATAACACCTAGATAGTTATACTTATTTATATTTTCAATTTTATGGCTATCATATTCAATATCTAGTTTCTCATTGTATTTATTTTTAAATAAAATGACCTTGGTCTAATTAGTATTAATAGTTAATTTATGATATTCCATCCAATCTTTGATTAGTTCTAAGTCTTGCTTGATAGTTTGTTGTAGTTTTTGATGGTTATTTTCAGCATAAATTATTGCCAAATCATCAGCATACATAAATTGCTTACCACGTATTTTTACATCCAGTAGACTACTTAGATAACAGGCAAACAGCGTAGGACCAAGTGAACTTCCCTGTATTACTCCGTAAGTTGTATTTTCTAGATCACTTCTTGTATTCTCACATTCAGCACACTGTAGTCTGTTTGACAGGTAGCTTTTGAACCAATTATGCTCGTTTCCTTTAATTCCATTTTCAAATAAAATTCTTAATAGAATGTTTCTATCAACAGAATCGAAGGCCTTACTAACATCAAAAAACACAGCTGCTACTCTTTTTTTCTTGTCGATTCCAGATTGTATTTCTGATACTACATCAAAAAGCGCTGCTTGTGTGCTAGACTTCTGTTTGAATCCATATTGCCTGCTTGACATAAGGTTTGCGTTGTTCAAGTAGTATACAAGCTGATTGTTAATTTCTGTTTCAATAATTTTACTCAGAACTGACGAAATAGCTATTGGCCTAAAATTTTGTATATCATCTTTGTTTCCTTTATTTTTATATATTGGCACTATTCTGCTTATTTTAAGTATGTTCGGCATTGTACCGGTGGATATAGACAAATTCACTAATTTAGTTAAACTTGCCGCAAGTTCCTCTTTGCAAATTTTAAATACCATTTGGGGAATTCCGTCTGTGCCCATACAGTTTGTATTAGCTAGACCGTCAATTAACTTTTTACATTCTGTTATACTAATTTTTCTAAATCTAAACTGTTTATTTGATCTGTTTTTTGGAACATATAACTTGTTAAATTGCTTTGCCATAGATTCACCTATTGTAGCGTAAAAATGATTGAACTGATTAAGCTTTTGGATTCTCTTACTTTCGTTAAGTTCAGAACTGTCAAAAAATTCATTTTTTTTGCAAGCTCTGCCAGTTATTAATTTTTTTGCATACATCCACTGTTTTTTTGGATCACTTCCAGCTTTTTGAAATTGGTTATAGTCATATTCAGCTCTTTTTTTTCTCTTAGTAGCAGTTGCTTTATTTGCCCAGTATTTATATTTATTTTTTAAATGTTCACAGTTTCTATTATTCAAATATTTTTTGTACCAATAATTTTCCCTTTCAATTAAGCTAATGCATTCAAAATCTATCCATGGTTCTGAGTAGTTTGTTTTACTACATTTCGATTTTGTTACAACGGTCGCACTACTAATTGCATTTTGTATTGTAGATGTCAGTTCAGTCGCTGTATTATTTATGTCAAGTGAACTTACGCAACAGCTGTTTAATGTTGTTTTTACTTTAGTATAAAAAATCTTTTTTATTTGCCAATTACTATTAATATTTTGTGTTTTTGTAAAATCAAATTTTAATTCAATTAAAATGCCAATATGGTCAGAGACATCATGGTGAAACATGGATAAGTTGATGTCGTTATTCAGATTATTACTTAGGACATGATCAATACAACTCTGGGAAATTGGTCGAGTTACTTCTTTGTGGCAAAACGCAAAGCCATTAGACTCAACTATCATTTTGTAATTCTTTACATTATTATCGTAAGTATTAAACGTATTCAGGTTAAAATCTCCTACAATAATTGATTTGATTGATTTTAGGTTTTCTAGATGCGATTCCAGTTTTCGAAGAAACATATTAACTTGATTTGAAACAAGAATTGGTGGCCTATACACTGCTGTAATGTTTATATTTTGTTTATTATGACTCAATGTAATACTTAATAAACTATTGATTTCGTCACAATAATTAACAAATGGTGTCATATTAAATTGAATGTGCTCATGTATAAATATTGCTACTCCACCCCCTCTTCTAGATGTTCTACTTGAGAAGAAACCGTAGTAGTTTTTTATTTTTATGGGATCATCCTTTGGTTTCTTCGTATCATTTTCTCTGCTGTCAATAAACCAAGTTTCAGACACAACTAATATATGGACAGTCGATTTTAGTACATCCAACATATATTTTAAATCATCTAGCTTATTCTTTAAGCTTCTCGCATTTAAATACATGATTTTTAGGGAATTCAAGTCATCAAAATGTACATCACATATGTTATATATATTTGTTTTAACATGGGTTTTTGTTGGCAATCTATAACTATAAGTATTATTGAACATTTAAACTAGTCTCGGAAAGAATCTTTATAATCGGACTATTATCTGTCACCCTAATAAATATATTGCCACTTCGCACCCATGCGTATTGAATAATTTTTCTTTTTTTTGAGTCTCTAGCTTGTTTATATAGTCTATTAAAATATTTCGTAAGTCTTTCATTAATAAAGATAAAATTATTCCTATTATCTATTTGTTTATCAAATATTTCTATTGTTAGCTTAGCTTTTTTTGCAGATTTTAATATGTTAAGCTTAGTTTCAACTTTGTTAAATTTAACCATAATTTTTTCCGGCTCACCTGATTTTGTAGACGAATTTCTCATTCTGTAAATCTCCTCGATGTCATTATCTTCTAATTCAACTCCAATGTTCTGTGATATGGTTTTTATAATAGCTTTTGGGTTCTCATCATTGGTTTTAGTTACGCCGCATACTTCAATACATTTTCTGTATCTCTTCTGTTTAAGTTGCTCAATATCTTCTTTCAGAAGGGTGTTTTCATTTTTAAGACGTAAGTTATCGTCAATGAGATCATTGATAAGATTTTTGAGTTCCATAAGTTCCTTTTGCAGTTTGTTTAAATCTTCGCCTTGGGAATTTTGATTTTTTATTATCAGCTCCAGTTTACTATTTATGTTTTTTGATACCGGAGTTTCATCTACTTTGTTCTTAATTGTTTGCTTATAAGATGAATCAATCTGTTGTGCGCCCATCGATTTTCTCGTCTTACGTTTTGACTTACATGAGGTGCAAAGCCAAAATTTTTCCTCATCGGTAGCGAGTTCCCGGGCCACTTCATTAGCTACTCCTGTACATTGAATACAGAACAGTTTCTTACATTCTCCATCACAAATCAGTCCTATATTATGCCTAGGATTAATTTTTTTGTTGCACTGATTGCAAGATACGATGTGAGTATTTGTTGACATTTTGACAGTTCTTATCTTAATAAGAACTGTCGTTAGACTTAATAAGTTGTGGTTAAACTTAATATCCATATAATTTTTATTGAGTAGTATGACAGGTTCGAGTAATTGCTATTTAACAATGAAATCTAGTTCTAGATATTTCAAAAACAAATTTATAAACTCAGATTATCAAAGTACAGTCAGTTTATACCAACTGAAACGTTTTTGCTTGTTCTAACCTAAATTGGGCACGGAAACCAAAACTCACAAATAACTATATAATAGAAGCTTTTACTCACGATAATTTGAAATTCGTATTTGAATAAATAAAATATTTCAACTTTTATGTGTGCACAGGCATAGAAATTTTTCCTTTAAGCTTATGTTACATTATGAAAAACTAGCTAGCACATTATCTTTGCAAGTAGTTTTTTTTGTGTTTTAAAGTAGTGATAATACCATAAGAAACTTGCAAATAAAAATTAAATAAAGTTGGGTCAAACCAATGGTTTGTATTGTAGCACTTTTCCCTTTAACAAATGAAAATTCTGCTTTTAAATACAGTCTATGTATACCTATCACACTATTAAAATTATTTTCACTTATATACAAAACTATTTCTAGGATTGCATATATTTAGGATGATGCATACATGCAGTCTTTGAAATAAAGCAAAAATTAATATAAAGAGGGGTTGACATAATACTCGATTTTAAGGTTTACTTGTGTGAGTTAAGAAAAATAAATATATTTTTTAATGTCATGGAATTTACCGTTAGCTTTCTGCGTTTATAGAAATTTGAAAAAGCTTGCGGTTTCGGAAATATAGGGTGTCAAAAATTCGAATTTTACAAATTTCAAGGGTGCTTTCTCTCTTCAAGGGTGTAGAAGTTTTGTAAACAAAAAAAGTGTCCACGGACGGACGGACGGACTGACGGACGGACGGACGGAAAATTTTTTTTGGAAAAGTGCTAAAAATTCATGCTGAATTATTTTTCGTAACAATGCAAACATGTACCCCAAATTCACTTTTATAATTTTCTCATTAAATAAAATTGGAATATAGTTGAATGTGTTGATTCCATATAGATATCTACTTTGCGTTAAGATTATAAATGCATTTTCTTTAAAATACCATTATTTTTCTTTTAATTTTATTATTTTTTTTTTCTCTTTTCATTTTTTATTGTTTAGTTGTAGAAGCTCTCAATTTGTGAGTATATATCATGGTTGGTATGGTCTGTTAATTGTAGAGCAAAAATTTTGCATATATGTATGTGCTGTTACGTAAATTGACACCGTTTCACAGACTTATCCTATTATTCTGTTATTATATTACTGTTATTTATATTTACCTATTGAAGAAATAAAAATACACATATGTAGTAAAAGTCTCGAATCGTCTGATTCTATATTATTTACGTATATTACATAGGTACCTAAAATTTATGGTAGACAATAATATATGTATAACCGTTCATAAAATGCATAACCAAAATGTTTGCGTATGCATATATATAATATGTACATAAGTATAGCATTTTATGTATTGATATTATATACATACCAGATACTTTCGTGCTACTGGTATATTAGGTTATATGCTGATTTTAATTTTATTAAGTTAAAATATTCTCAAATAACTCTTATTGTTCTTGTTTTTTTCATGTTACTTTTATTTTAATAAAGTTTATCAAAATTAAAATGTTTATTATTTTATAGTTAGAGAAGTATTTTTATTTAGGTTTATATGAAAAAATGTCCAATTAATTAAAAAATTTAACTATAATTCTTTACGGGAGGATAATTTTTAGTCTTGAAACTTTTCTTACAATAGTAACTTTAAAAATTTTTACTGTTTTTCATATTGAGATTTCCTTCAACTTAATGTAGAAGACACAAAATTTTCTAACAACACGCATATTTGTATAATATAAATTGGGTTGTAAATATAATGGGTGTAAATATGTTTGCCAGAAAGGGGCACGTTGCAGGTCATTGTTACCAAATACATGGTGTAAAATAATGAAAATTCCTTACGCAACATAAAATTATGGACATTTTTCATGAAACTTCGTGAATAATTTATTTCAATGAACTACATGATTTTTGTTGTTTAATGCAATTCAATATTATTACTGCTCTTAATAGTAATGTTTTCTTGGCAGATCTTTATAAATTTTCATTTCAATTGAAATATTTTTCGGTTGAACTAATATATTTGTTGAATTTATTAATGATTGGCTGAAGCCTCAGGTGGAAATTTTTTTCTGTTAATATTACAAATCGTTGAAAATTCTTTTGCTTTTGCATAACATATTTGATATTGCAAATATTTTTGTATCATTAATATTTGGTCCCCTAGTAGAGTTACGTAGTACCTTTAATTTAATAATCGATGTAGCAGAACCAAATGCAACGTCGAGTCTTTCTTATTATTATGGTATGAAAATTTAGTTCAAAAATATATAATCATCTCTTTTGCAAAAACAAAACACAAAATAAAATTTTGGTAAATATTTAAGCAATTTGGAATTCAATAATTAAAATTAAAATTTGAAATATGTAGAGAACAGAATTAGAAAAAAACAATTTTCAGTTAATTACTAATACAACGTGTTATATTTAATGAATAAGTGTTGTTTGACTAATAATATTAACTCGATGGAAATTTCTACAGTAGAATCTAATATTGAAGAATGGATAAGAAAATTACAAAAAGTTAGTACAAGTAAATTAACAAGAAAATGGAAAATAAAACTAATGAAAATCAATCTGTACCTGTAAATTTTAAAAATACAAATTCGGTAAAACCCAAATTAAATTTGAATGGAACCAGAATATCAATCCAAAACAAAACACCTAAAATTGACTTAAAATGTGAGCCTCGGGTGAAAAGACTTATTGAGAAGAAAAAAATAAAATTAGAAAACAATATAGAGAAAGCTGTTCAAGGTCGTAGGTCTAGATTAACAAGTGTTCTTTACATTTCTTCTTTACATACATATTTTCAGTACTTTTCCAAAAAATTTTTGAAAAAAAGTGTTTATTAGTTTCACTCTTTCCGTCCGTCTGCCCGTGTGTCTGTTTACAAAACTTCATAGGTCTTTACTAATATGTACATAGGTCTTTACTGAAAAATAATTTCCACAAAACATAATTCTTACATATTTCTTACCCTCTAAAAGTTATACCCCCTCAAAACCCTAAAATTTCCATTTTACAACTACTGACTGAAGTGGAACCATATGCATTTTTCAAATTTTACAAACGCAGATAAGCAGTGGGTTACTTCTTTTATCACGGCATACTATACTTAAACTTTAGAAAGACAAAATGTCGGTTAAAATTTACTGTTATATAAAAGCCTTTTTTTTCCAAATTTTTTATGTTGTTTTTCTTCTAGACCCCAGGATGTGGGAGCTTGAAATTTTATCCATCTCCACCCCCTCTCAAGCTCTCACCTCTTGAAATTTGTAAAATTTGAATTTTTGATGCCTTATATTTACGAAACCGTAAGCTTTTTCAAATTTCTATAAAAGCTTTTTGCTAACGGTAAATTCCATGACATTAAAAAAATATAATTATTTTTCTTAAATCACGCAACTAACTCTTAAAATCGAGCATTATGTTAACCCCTCTTTAAATTAATGTTTGCTTTATTTTAAAAACTGCACAAATCGTTCATCCCAAATATATGTAATCCTAGAAATAGTTTTGTATATGAATGAAAATAATTTTAATTGTTTGGTGGGTATACATAGACTGTATTTAAAAGCAGAATTTTCACTTGCCACAATACAAACCATTGGTTTGAACTAACTTTATTTTTTCTTTCTTTACAAAATTAAACACATTAGTTAGTTATCTACTTAACCAAAGAATTTTTCAAAATTTAAATGTACATCAAAATTTTAACTTATTAAAAATATAATATCATAAAATTAAAAAAAATTAATTTTTATGTAAGAATATTCGTAAATTATGTAAAAATAAAAGAAAGAAAAAGAGTTAGATGTATTCATTATTTATATAAATAAATAGTGCGAAATACCACTTCAATAACGTGAGAAAAACAATTAATAATTTCAAAAAAGGAAAAATATCCTACTTATTAGTTAATTATTATGATTAAATTTTTTTTTTTTTTTTTTTTTACCGAGAGGACAGGTGAAAAATCTCGAAAGACACTGCCAGACGAAAAGCAGTAGTGTGGAACTTTAATTCACTAAAAAACACCCTCCTCAAAATAAACTATAAAACTAGTCGGAACGACTAACTATTAATTTTGCTCCAACCTTTTTGATTATTTACAAGCCTTTGATCTGGCACAATTGTGTACTAAGTACTCATTGTTCCAGATAAAAAACTTTAAACTAGTTTAAGTCTCCTAACAAAGTTTTGATTGTCAACCAATCGAGCCGCCTCGATGTTGACATGATTGGATAAACCCATTTTATGATTGGCTGCTTGCTTTTTAATTTCGTCTGTTACACTTAGGATCGTGAGATCCCTGTGTATATCAGCATTACGGACGTACCAAGGGGCGTTTACAATGTCCCGTAATACCCTATTTTGAAATCTTTGTATAGATTGGATATGAGTCTGCGCAGCGCAGCCCCACAACTGAATACCGTAAGCCCAGACAGGCTTAAATATTTGATTATATATCAAAACTTTGTTGTATATCGTCAATTTGGAACGCCTCCCCAAAAGCCATTGGAACTTTCTGTATTCCTCCTCTAGTTGAGATCTCTTTTTTTCTTTATGTGCTCCTTCCATCTGAGCTTCGCGTCCAACGTCATTCCTAAATACTTCGCCGTGTTTGCGATCGGAATCAAGACGCCATTTATTTGAACCGAAAATGAATTGTCAATTTTCCTATTAGTGAAATTTACATGTACTGATTTCATTTCGTTAAGTTTTATATTCCACTTTCTAGTCCATTTTGAGATCTCATCACTGGCTCTTTGCAATTTTTGTGTAGAATCACTTTCATTTCGTCCAACTGCGATAACTGC